AGCCAATGGTGCAACCAGTGATTGCATCTTGGCTTGGACACCTTATTCATCAAGGCCGGGATTAGAATTTCCAGTCTGAACCGGATGAAGCTCTTCTTCACCAGTAGTAGCTAAGACGAGATGTCCTTGACTTTGGCGGCATTGCAATCTTACCGGGGTCTAGCCGGGCGTGCCAATTAATGTTTGCACAAAATTATGACACTGGAAGTGCGTAGACGTGCCAGAATCTCGGAAGATTCAGAGAAGGTCGAGCAAAAGGAAATCCTTTTGGAATGATCAGGCGATTGTGATGGTTTTTATTTGCCTTCAATGAAAGGACTTCAATAAAACTATAATGCTAAACTAGAGAATTGAAGTGCTATTAGCAAGTGTAAGAAAATAAAGTACTTGTATTGAAATTGCATGAAAGCAAATGACAATGTATTGAAGTTTGTTTGATGTCGTTGAGAGAGTTTACATGTAGTCATATGTGCTCTATTTACAGGCATGTGTAGCCTTTACAAGAATATCCCATGTCTTATCACAAACTGCCCATCCTCTTCATCATCTCTTTACAAAACACTTGTCTCATGTCTGGCTGTAGAAGCTCAACTTCCAGACCCACGAACTGCAGTCTTCTTCCAGCGATGCCATGTGTCCCACGTTCTGGTTTGCTCGTCTTCATCTTCTGTTTTATACCTGAGTATATACATAAATATATATACACACACACACACACACATATATGTATGTATAAGCCACGTTTTATAATAGGTTTCACCCTCTGGCTTTCCTTTTGCAATTGCCACATATGCTCTTCCTTTACTTAGGGTTATATATATATATGTGTGTGTGTGTGTGTAAGCCACGTTTTATAATAGGCTTCACCCTCTGGCTTTCCTTTTGCAATTGCCACTTATGCTCTTCCTTTATTTAGGGTTATATAAATCCCTGCAAAAGGTAACTTCCTAATTGTTCCCATAAACTCTCTTCCTAAATTTTAGGAACAGCCTTATCCCTTCCTTTTAACAAGTAGTTGACTCGTTCAAAAGGATTTCAAATTCACGTAACTCAATTAGGCCAATTACATCCTTCATTAGAGGTAGTATATATATTACCAATTTTGTAACATAACTAATTGGCCAGCTGTCATCACCTTAATTTACCACTTGTAGTGTCTAACCTATACACGTGTTGCTTCCTTGCTTGTACACATGTCGGAATTTTAGTCATCTTCCGGAATTGCTGTGTATCAGTAGGACATTGTATCAGTAGGAGATTGGACCATGTACTGGCCCATGTGTCATCTTTTGATTGCTCCATATCAGCGCTGAAGTGGCTGCCACTTTTGTGTGTCAACACATGTATAAAGAAGACCATTAAGTGTGCCAGTTAGGAAGAGTGATATGGTCCACATTGAGGGTGATGTTAGGGGAAGGGATAAATAAAAAAAAGATGTTAATCTTAGAATCATGGCAGGTTGGTTAAATGGAGGAGTACATCCAGTAAATGTGTGATTGGTGTATCCTCTTTAGATTGAAAGGGAAGTTATATTAAAACTATTGGACCAACTGTTCTTTATGGGACAGAATGTTGGGCAGTTAAGAAACAACATTGGCATAAAGTGATTGTGGTGGAATTGTGAATGTTGAGATGGAATTGTGACCAGACAAGAAAGGATAGAATTAGATATGATGAGAATTTCCGTGGTTGAAGTAGCACCAATTAGAGGTAAAATGAGAGAAAATCGATTAAGATGGTTTGAATATGTTCAATGCAGACCATTAAATGTGCGAGTTAGGAAGATTGATATGGTCCACATTGAGGGTAATGTTAGGAGAAGGGACAGATCAAAGTTAACATCGGTAGAGTTAATTATAGAATATTTTAGCATGTGGTTTGATTGGGCCAATGGCCTTGGATAATGTGGAATGGAACAATAGGATTCATATAGCCAACTCAAGTACTCGGGAAAAAGGCTTAGTTGAGTACCAATTTTTACCCTTGAAATGATTGTAAAGGCATTATGATCCTCACCTAGTCTTTTAAAATGAACTTACTACCCTTATTATTACTTCCGTAAATTGATGAATTTATCCTCATCGATTTGTGCATCAGTTAGTGTAAATTCCATAGCATTTGAATATCATATAAACGTAAATGTGGAAATGCAATTCTGGAGAGAGAAAGTACTGTGAAATAGATTGCTTGTCTCTCCACAGATTTGTTTAATTTGAACAGCTTTTCTTTATTCAGTTCGTCCTCTCTTTTATTTGAAATGGGCTATTGAAGCATCGAAATAGAGCTCAAATGTTTTCTAAGAACAAATAACATTGTTTCATGCATGCAAGGACTTGTACCAGCTTTGTGTTGAAAGGTTTATGGTCCAAGCTAAGTAAGAATATGAGATCTTAAAACAATGAAGAATTGTTGGTAGAGAGATAATGTGGTGGCCTGTTGTCATGAGCTGGAGAGAAAATAGAGGGAAGTGGAGAGATGGAGAAAGAACCAAGGTGAAGAAAAAAGAGAGATGAGAAGGAACTCATGAAATTTTAGAGAGAGAATAGAGTTGAAGAGAGAACAAAGAGAAAGAAAGAGGAAGCAAAGAGAAGAGAAAGAGGTTGGAGAATTTTAGAGAGGTGTTTGATGCCACAACTCAGTGTCGCTGGCAGACTTGGTTTTGTTTCAACCACCACAGAAGTTAACCAACATCCAACTCTACAATGACGACACGTTCCCAAAGCTTTGGCCAAAACTAAAATCAGGGTATGCCAAACAACCAGTTCCTAGCAATAGTGACCCCCAACTCCACCACTGCAACTTGGACTGGTTGTAATGTTTCTGTCGCTGCCTGCTACTCTGAGATTCTCATAATTTCCACCATCTTGATCAGTGTACCCTATTCAATACCTCTCCTTATGCCAGCAATTGGATCACTCTGTGATGCCCTCGTCATCGTCAGTTTTTTGACAAGTGTTTTTAAAATTTTTGGTTTTTGATAAGGATCATCAGTTGGCATACCTAAATCAAGATTCCGCCATCTCAAGCCAGGCCATCTTTAATCAAGTCCTAAAGCCATAGCTTTTACCTTTACTTTATTTCTTATCACTAAAAGTTAAAATAAATAACACCTCCAATGATGATCTTACCCTTGGTATTTGTTTAAGCAGGAAAAGGGTTGTTCCTCTTGACAATTTGCTATTTAGAGGAAAGAGATTTAGAGAGAATTAAGTGGTGAGAATGGTGAAGCGTGATTATTTTTTTCCTTGTTAGTTCCGTTGTTTTGGGAGTATTTTTGTTGCAAGTTGTTGGGCGGTAGAGGAGGCATGGATATTGATGGATGGTTGGCTGAACATGGCAGAGAGACTGGGAGGGTGGGGATTTTCTATGGAGGGATGGCAGGGAGATCACAGGATTGCACTAGAGATGGAATAAAGTGAATGGATTGGAATAAATACAGAAAGAGAGTAGAATATAGCATGGTTGATTGAAATCCTAAATAGCTGTGAAGGTGTGGTTGCCTCCTCAGACTCCTTTGGGGTCATACGGAGTGCCTTAACCTACTATGGGTTAGACATCTTCAATCAGGATCATGTAAAATCTTAGGCTCACGCTTTTCAAGAGGCTCTTGGCTAAAAAAAAGTGGTGCTCTTATTTTTTTAATCATTCATTCACATATTTTCTTTCTTTTTCTTTCATTATTGACCATGTCCAACTAAAAAAAAAATTTACATACTCTACATCACATTATAATCATATTGTTCTCTCTTATCGTATAATCATTGGGATTTAGGTCCTTTATGGTTGACTCATTACATCAAGTGCGTCGCGTCTAGTGCTTGATTGTAAATTTTTATGATAGTAAAATATTTATTTAAAATCTACATGAATTATTGCTTTTTGTTGTTGTACTTTTTTTTCCTTGGCATTGTTGCACATTTTTAATAGTATTTGACTTAGTTAATGCATATGTATATCAAAAGGATTGATGGCGATTTATTTATATGATCCTCTAAATTTATATGTCAAACATTCCATTTTTAGAAAAGACTTTTGATTAGTTGTTGCATTTCTTGAATTGTTCAGAATGTACATTGATTAATTGAATTCTTATGCATACTTAAAAGATAATATGCTGTAAATTCTTTTATTTGATCTTGACTAGTTTGTGTTCCATTTTTTATATGTTCTTCTATGTTCAATAATTTTTTATTCATTTTTATTTTTTATAATTATGAACGTATCTTAATTCGACTATGCTTGTGTCTTACATTACATTTTGTGCTTAGATTCAAGAGGGAGTGAGTAATTTTTCTAGGTTTTAACTCAAGGGCTTTTATGGCTTTTCTCAAAATGTTGAACGATCAATTAAACAATATATTTAAATGTGAGGGTAAAATAATAATCTTGCATGTTCAAACTATATAAAGGGTAAACTAGTAATATTGCATGTTCTTTTAATGTTCTACAAAATTGTCTGATAGGGGAGGTTAGTGTAATTTTGAAAAATAGAGGAGGGCAGTGTATTTTTGATAAATCTCATAGGAGATCAGTATTGTTTACCTATGATTATTTAGCTAGATGAAGAAGACATTTCTATTGTTTTGTAGGATTCGCACTCACTAATTTGCCAATCTTATCATACTAAAAAGAAAAAAAATACTATGAAATCATATTTCTATATATGTCTGCATTAGCGCTTCATGGGCAGTTTTGAGGCCATAATCTGGTTCCTATTCCCTCAATATTCAATTTCACCAAAACATTTCTAGTTAAAAATTGGTTTAGCCTCAGCTCATCTGTTTTGGAGTTGTTGCTTTTTGATAGACCATGCAATTGCATTAACAGATAATTAATTACTAGCTAAAATGAAATTACTTTGTTTATGTTTCAAGCATTGGTATATTTTGGTCATTTGATGTAGAATATTATTAGCTATTCAATCAAGGCCAATAAGTTCAATATGTTTGGCCGTTGTGCTACTAGAAGTTACTAGTTAAGTAATATATATCTTTCTGCAGAATGCGCAACATTTTGAGTCCAACACGGCTTTGTGTAAAGTTTGCACCAACGATGCTTCTTATATTGCAAGGTGGTAATTCTCGTTTCTGTTCTCTATTCAGGGCTGTTCATTACCTTTTGCCTCTGGCTTCTTTGATGTTCAATGTTGAACTTCTACAGGTGCTGTGTGAAAGGCTCTCTCTTAGAAGTGAATGATAGGTTAATCAAGCAACCAGAATTACTTAATTCATCGGTACGAATAACTTTGTATTCAATTGATATATATTTTTATCCTATTGTCATATTATGTCACTCAAAAGATCACCATCACATACAATATCTGTGATTTACGATCACAAGACTTTCATTTTTGTGCTTTGAAGCTCTTCATGGTCTCCTTTAATTCATAATATCATTTTACATTAGGTTTCACTATAAAAGACACTTTTAATTGTTCTGCACTTGTTTGTTCTAGGATTGATATCCTGGACACATCTTCCTCTTGACATTCTGACCAGCCCATTTATCATCACTAATTTCTTCTTTTGTAAATCACTCTAAGATGCTTGAGAAAAAATGGAAGAGGAGGAAGGAGTTTTGGTGGCATGGGTAACAAGAAGAAGATTTTCATGCCCAATATTTTAGTTTTTTGTATATCGTCACCATGTGCCAAGAAGAGGGAAGAGTTATCAGTTAGTAATCTCTTTTTACAGTAACCTGTGCCACGAAGAGGGAAGAGTTATTAAAACAAAAGGGTGAAGAAAGCAACACATCTTGCATTAGGAATCTTTGTTCAAAGTCGCAGATGCCAATGCAGTTGCAGTGTAACGAATGTAGAGTGTAATGGGCATTACATAATGTTGTCAAAAACTACTGTTGAAATTTTCTCGACCTTGCACAATATTAGATGTGCTGACTCGGATGAGTCCACAGGGACTCAGAATAGATTCCACCAATTCTCAAGGAACTTAGACAAGTCTTGGACGATTCTCTGGGAACTCGGCTGAGTATGTGATTCCAATTCCCACCGATATATCGGTGAGTATAAGACTCGGACTCAACTGAGTGTGATAAAACTGAGCCCATAAGATGGTCGATTGAGTCTAGGAATTTTGCATCAAATTAAATGCCTTAGCTCCAACCAAGCATAGATCTTTTTAGGTGGATTCCCTCCGGCCAACACCCACACCCCCCCCCCCCCCCCCCCCCCCCCCCCCCCCCCCCTTATTTTTCTTGTCTTTTTCCAAATTTTTATCTGTTGAACAAGTTGTTTGTATGTTTTTCTCTCTTCTTCTCATTCGAAAGTTTTGAATTGTGGAAGACATCTTTGATGTGCTGCTTAAGGGTGACAATGTTGATGCAGTAATCTTGTCCCTCCTCCTACTCTACCACCTATTTTTCATCTTCCTCTTTCTGTCCCTTGTATTGGGAAAGTAAAAATATTTTATGGCCTTGATATATCCAATTCTTTAGCTGCATCGATAACATTAAATCTTGAATACTAGTTTAGTTTGTTCCGTCTTCCATGTATGAACTTTTGGTAATCCATTCAATTAAGCTGCCGTTTTGGTTTGTCTTGCAGGCAGATAGGGAAGGATACATAGCAATTATTATGCCAAAACCAGCAGATTGGCTTAAGGTCAAGCCATTGTTATTTGGCTTTGAAGACTACAAGAAATTGAAACAAGTTTGATGACTCATGGAAATACTTGCACTAGAACTCCAATTTTAATGCGAGCCCTGGGTCCCACCCCTTTGTGTCTCTCTATTCGGCTGGGGCCGGATCGGCCTAAAAGAAATTTTCTTTCAAATGCTTTTAATTGCAATGTGGTTAGTTGCTCGTCTTGTGGTTATTGTTAAATTTTGCTCCCTCAATTCTTCATTTGACTGGCACAAAGAAGAGATTGTAGGAAGTCTCCAACAATTTTTAGATCAAGTTCTATACAACAATTTGTTTGCGTGTACATTTGACTCACTAAAAATTAGAATGCTTTAAACTTGTGCAAGCCAATCCTATGAATTACTTTCTTCTTCAAGCAAGAGAGTCGTACCTGGTGATGGATAATCTATTAGGTGAGTCTTACCACCACATCCAACGGTTGAGAGACTCGAGAGTATGATATCCCGAGTATTTTAAATTTTTCGCTGGAGTAGGTATTGGCATCATTACCTGTACTACGAGGTATTGGCATCAAAATTGAGATAGCTTGCTTCAGTTCCCCTCTTCAAAAGAGCGTTGTTCTTGGCACAAAAGTCGCCTTTTGTACATATAATTTTGAATACTTCACTATGAATGACTTTAGACCAATTGCTTGTTGCCGTCAATCAACATTCATAAAGGACAGAAGAATAGGATTTCTTGGTTGATACCCCCCTATCCTTGATGGGTTTCCCTCCATCCTTCATCCATTGGTTTAGGGTTTAGGGTTTACAATCCCAGCATTTCCATCTCATTAAAATGGTGAAATCCATGGATATTTCAAAAGCACCTTCAGACAAGGTGATCCCTTTATATCTCCCTTTGTCTTTGTGATTGCCATTGAAGTTTTGTACCAAAATCCTAGTGAAGCAACTATGCACGGAAATTACCCGATATGCAAATTTGTTCTCTATAGCATCAAACTCTATTGGATGGCCATTTTTATTTTACGCAAACAGTTTGGTTATAAGTTTCATCAACTCTCTGATTAGAAGATTCTTATGGTCAGGCTCCAACACCATTACGAAGAATGCCTACCTAAGCTCAATGGTGGTATTGGGTTGCTGAATTAACTTGAAAGGCTGTACGTACCGTACCGTCCATGGCAGATGATCCCTAATTTCTGGCAGCCATTGGCCACCTCTTCTTCCAATGGGCCAAGCGACATGCCAGTTTCAGTTCTCCCCACTGAACTGACAAAACCTTCTCCTTTTGGCCTCTAATTCCGATCCTCGACTCATCCCATCTCCCACCTTTCACACAAACTTGTACTGGCAGCAGCTTGTGTCTCCATATGGACTTGAGGAGAAGTTTGGTTTGGTTTCAAACCCCGGTTCAAACAGGAGTACGCCATGCTAATGTGCCTTGGATGATCCACATCTCAGGGTCAGGTACAACGACGCAATTATCAGGGGCACGCTCTACCACTGAGCTAATAACCTGTCGTGCGAGCCTCCCACTGGGGGGCCGCTATGCCAAAAGCAAGAGAAACCCCCTACACATCCTACAAGGAATGTTCTACCAAAGGAAACTAAAAACAAATTAATGACACACGCTCCCTTGTAAAAATAAAGCAAATTTGGATTAATTTTTGAGTTGTACATAACCTTGTTAAAAAAACATGAAATTTTTTATAAAACTTCAATCTCAACTACGCTTAGGTTAAAAAATAATTGTCAGTGTACATGATCTCCAGCTAGCTTTGCCCCATGCATGATGTATTTTCTGGTTGGAGCATCAATATTTCTTGTATAACTAGTGTTCTTGATCTGTTTATAGTGAGGAAGCACAAGTATAAATGCTCTTCAAGTTCTTCCAACTGCTCCACAAAAGAAGCTTCATGGATCTCAAGTTCTCTCACAACCTCTTTCAGCACTTCACTCTTTCCATTCCTCACACACATATGAGCAATTTCTTTACTGTGTTCCATCTCGTTCTCTAACCTTCTCACAAGCTGACTCATGGTGTCGAAATCATTCATCAATATGTACACTCCTTTCTTTGCAACTTCAAGCTGTTCACCCAGTCTCTCTTGGAAGCTTGTTTTGAAGTAGTGTCCGATTTCACCCGCCATTTTGCTCTTCTTTTTAAGCGAGCATAATGAATAACCGATCACTGCTGGCGCCGCTATCAATCCAACCATGCCGTGGCCAGCAGTAAGCGCTAACAACAAAATCGCAATAACGCTGTAAGAAACCACGAGACCAAACCCCACGATCATCTTCTTCAAACCTCTAGTCATCTTCGCTCTTCTTCGAACCCTTCTACGCTTTGATGTCAACCTTTGAAGCAAGAAATCATTCCTGTCGTGTACGTCGCGGAATTTCTTGATGCTGATAACCGATAAGGGGTTTTTGAGCGATGCAAAGGAAGAGAGCTCTCCGAAAATGGCGTCACAATACTGATCGTTCTTGGGATTTTCACGACGACGATCATACAGCCTTTTTGTTAGCTTGATTACCCTTCTGATTATTTGGTAATTAGAGCGGGTTTGGTGGACGCTTCGAAGGAGTAGTTCGCAAATATGGCATGCTTCTAAGCTGGATTCAAAGTAGTCAATGAGGAGATGATGGAGGTTAGAGCCTGCAACGATGTCAACTAGGGTTTCTTGAGGCGGTTCGAGCAATGTGTCGGAGAGATGGACTAAGGAAGACGATGAGAGCAACTTATTAAGACTTCTTCTTCCAAGCTGTCCTTCAACTTTGTTCAACATTTCTATGTAAGACTTTGTCCTAAAGGCTTTCTTATACTCGTCATTGATGTTTAAATTGTTGACCAAGCTTTTCACATTTTCTTCACGACTAATAACTGAAACAACAAAAACAAAAGCAAAAACATCTCGTGAATAAAGGTAAATGACTTCATGACATTAATCAAATTAAGGGAAATTATTATGATATATATATATATATATATAGGGTGTTTTGATTGATCGGATATTTAATAACCGTTACTATAGGGTGTTTTAATTTGAAGGAAAATAATACAAAAATTAATGAATGGAAAATTATTAAGTTGACAAAATATTTGTGATGGAGCTAGGTTCAAAGGGAGGAAATCGGTAAGCAAAAGAACCCATTAATGATTCAATTTCAAAATCAAAAGATAACCCTTAATATATGGTAATTTGATATAAAAAATAGAATTAAACTAAGATCTTATAAGATGAGAAAGATTTGGAAAATAAACTCACCAGAAGGTGTAGTAGAAGATGATCTCTTGAAGTTGCAGCACAGCATCTTTCTCATCTTGAACACATATATATGTTAATAGCAGATTGATGAAAGAAGCTTAGCTTTCCAAATATTCTTGTCTTTGTCTATATATATATATATATATATAGATATGAGCATGGGTTGGAAAGAAATTAAGTGGAAAAGATCGAAGAAGAAACCAGTTGGCAGTTATCACCGCCTTAATTGGTTATGGCTTTTGTAACACGAAACAGTCCCTAACACGTTGTGTTTTTCTACGTGTAAAGCCATGAGACAAGCCTTGTGGCTTTATAAGTAATTCTAAAGTTGGAAATGGTGGTGAATGGTGATGATTGATTGAGTTTCTGATACGCCATTTTTCAACCGTGTCTTTTGATTTCGTCAACTGGGGCCATGTCTTTTGATTGAACAGGTCTAATTTCGGTCGTCTTCTATGCTAGTTTTTACATCAAATTGACCCATAAAACCACGCGTTAATTAACATAGTTCTAGAGGCTTTAAATATATAAAAGGGTGAACTGGTCTTTTTATTAGGGTCTCGAGTCCAACTCCAAATATGCCACCTCCTACACTATGTTTGATATTTCTAAGCTAATGATTACAAGAAAAAATGGAAATGAAAGAAATGTTTTGCACTTGAATAATTAGTACCTCCCATTTAAGCAGGAACGGATCTAAAAAATAATTTATGTTAGAGAGGTTGGTTTTAATAACAAGAAAAGATAAAAAAAATTCAAACCATATGACAGGGGCAATAATGGAGTTTTTTTTTGTAATTTTAATGGGGCAATTTTAAAATTTTATAGGTATATAGTTAAAAATAAAAATAAAAATAAAAATAAAAAATAGGTATAAAATATGAAAAAATAAAAGTTCAATCGGTAATTGCCCCCATTGGGCCTACTGTCAGGGCTAGCATTGAGAATAGGCGACTTAGACGGTTGCCTAGAAACTCCTATTTGGAAGGTTTCAAAATTTTAAATTTCCTTATATATGTTATATTATAATTATTTTCTAATATTTTTACAAATATAATCAATATAAAAATTTAATATTAAGCCTCAAAAATTTATATCCTAAAATAAAATTTTATTTTCTCTGTTTTCTCTCCCCTCCTCATTTATGTCTTTTAAATTAAACTCTAACCAATACATATATGTCTTTTAAATTTAACTCTGACCAATACATATATATATTGGGCCCCAAAGATTTAATATTGATCCCAAATATTTATATTCTTAAATAACTTTTTTTTTTTTTTTTTCCCTCTCTCTCTCTCTTAATATTGGACTTAAATATTTATATTCTAAAAAAATTATATTTTTTTTCTCTTTCTCTCATTCGGCATTTTTTACAACAGCACTAAATTTTTATTTATTTATTTTTTATATTATTTTTATTGCTTTTATCTTTTATTTGTTTATTTATTTTCTTATTCCTTACATATTTTATCTCTTCCCCGAACTCTCTCAACAAGTCGTCTCCCTCCTCTTTCATTAAAAATTTATTATTCTCAATTTGAATCCATTTTTATTCTATTGAAGAATTTGTAAGAGCATTGGATTGGGGTTTTCTAAATTAGGTTCTATTGTTCTTTTTCTTTAATTATTTCTTAATTTTATTAACTTTTGTTATTATAAATTTGTGTGTGTGTATATATATATATATATATTTCATATATTTATATATTTTAACCAAACTTAAATACAATAATCTAATTAGCATTTTTTTTTTTTTTTTTTTTTTCATAGTTGGTAACTCACATACACATGCCTTCATGGAGGTTTGAACCTTTGACCTCCCTTTGGGAGGTAAGAGTTTGATACCGTTAGGCCACTAGTCATTGGTCTAATTAGTAATTTTTAATTTCACAAAAGTAAGAAGGATGATTTTTAAATAAATATTATTTAATATTAATATATTATTAAAAGGTCACTTTTTATTTATTGCTTAAGGACCCATATTATTTCGAGTTACCCTTGATGCTTATCGTTTGTTTTAATAAAAATTATCTACTCTTATAATTTTAATTTTTTTTTTTTTTTTTGCTTATGGCCCTAAATTATTTTGAGTTGCTCTTGGTGCTTATTGTTCATTTTAATAAAAAAATCCGCACTCTTATATATATATAAAAAATTTGCTTCATTTTAATGAAAATTTTGTACTCTTATAATTTTTTTGCGCAGGTGAAATCTTTGCATTTGAAAGTTTGCCTAGGACCTCTCAAAATTTTGAGAATTTTACTGTCGACCCTGCCTACTATAGGTCCATGCATGCATCTAAGTGGTGATTGGAGAGATTCAATTATTGTTAAAAACGTTAAGTAAAAAATTATATAAAGTTTAGGTGTTTGTGATACAATTATTTACATTTTTGATGGTGATTAATTTGGGATCAAATAATAACTTTTGGAGAAATTATAGAGGTTATTTAAAAATAATAATTTATAAAATAGACTTAATTTTCGATAAAGGCATTAACCACTTTTAATTCTAAGTAAAGAAGAGTCCTCTAAAGGAAGGACAGAGACTAGCGATATTTTGATATTTAATCAAACCGCCTACTTTTATGCTCGTAATGAAAGGAATGATGTTAAAGTGTTGAATTGCAAAATAAGTATGCTCTTATTTTGTGACTATACTTTCAGACCAAGCTGAGAGGAAAGAATTAACTAAACAATGTAACAATAAAATGATGAATATGTAAATATTTATTATAATTTGAGTTTTGCATGATATCAGTTGTTGGAGTTTTGGGTTCCACGAGTTATCTGGCACAAAATATGAGTTGGTGGGGTTCAACCAAATTAGAAAGGTTCAGGCCGAACTGAAAATGAGTAAGCTAAATGGGTCACATCTAATTAACCCAATTTTCATATGATAAAACATCTCAACTTGGATAAGAACAAGTGACACATGTCAAAGTCTTAGAGAATCTTCAAATTGATAGTAATCTTGATTAGAAACATTTTTTTTTTGGCGTTTCACATGTGATTATGATGACTCAGCAAATTGATTCAATGTGAGCACAAGTTATCCACAACTTTAAGTCACAATATTGGAACCTAAATATCCCCTTCCTTACACTACCCATTAACTTAACCCACTTTACTGTTCAATTTCTTTTTGATCGAAGATGATTATTTATGGCCTATTTTAGTAGAAGCAATCTATTTGGATGTATATTTGATAACGTATATTTTGTTGCACGATCTTTTGAAGGAAAAATATAAAAACATATTTGATAAAAAAATATTACCAGTCTAAAAATATAATGACTAGTTAAAAAGTTATTTTAGAAATTAAACGATACCAAATACGCTTTGTATTTTTACTATGTTACGATGGATACAATTAAAAAAAAAAAAAAAGAAAGACAACTTACATAGACAAACAAACACTTATTATAATATTATTTATTATTATTATTGTTTTGAAAGGTAAGATGAGTATATAAAAATAAGGATAAAATACAACCACACTCCCTGATATTTGGCAAAATGACACAGATGAAAGTTACCCATTTTGTGAACAATGATACCCCTCTTTTTGAAATTCCATCTAAACAAGGCCTTAAATCATATGAAAAGACAAATTACTCTTCAATATTAAATTCAGATATATTACAAAATATCAGATCTTGCAAAATGATGCAATAGCCCCTTATTAATTTTTTCTCTTCTTTTCTTCCTATCACACCATCTATGCCTCTTTCTCTATCTGCTAACATATATATATATATATACACACACACATATATATATATATATACATTATCCACATTACAACACCACCACCAACACCAGCGGGGCAGGAGCAGGGGTCGTTTGCCGTCGCTACCGCCTCCGCCACCACACCCACCCATACTGCTCTCCTAGAATGGCGCCACCGCATCCCCTAACGACTACTACGACTAGTCGAGTCGGTCGTCTGATCCTTCCTCCGCCACCAGATTAAGGTTTGTATTCGTAGCTAGATCAAAGTCATAGTTTGTATTGCTCTCCTTATCTCCTGCGTCGGTGTCAGAAGATCAGCGGTAGTTTCATTGTCGTCTTGGAACAAGTTGTGGGCACTGAGTTGGATAGTGAGCGAGGAGTAAATGAGTCAACTCAGCCGGGACCATTAGCAGACTCTGACCGGCTCTCTTGAAAAGAGAGAACAGAGAGGAGAGAGAAAGGGGCTGTGAATGGGTTATGGATGAGAGAGAAAGGGGTGTGTACATATATATATATATATATATATATATATATATATATATATATGACCACCAAGTCCACAGCCTCTCCCTTAAACCCAGATTTTGCAAAGATTGATACATATATATATCAATCTTTGCAAAATTTGGGTTTAAGGGAGAGGCTGTGGACTTGGTGGTGGGTTTGAATGGCGATGATTGTGTGGGTGGTGGTGGAGATTGATGATTGGGATTGTGTGGGTGGTGGCGATGACGGTGATTAGTGATAGGCTGGGATTAGGATTGTGTTGGTTTTGGCGATGGCGGCGATTATGTAGTGTGTATATTATATATACATACATACAGAGAGAAAGGAAGAAATGTTTGGGTTTGGGTTTAATTCAAGGGTATTTCAGTCAATTAAAATATCAATTTTTATATCAAATGGTAATCAAGTCAATTCACCATTGTCAGGGTTTCTTTGTCCATTTTTTAAACTTGAAGGGGTGTCTTTGTCCAAAAAACAGATAAGTTTCATTCGTGTGTCTTTTTACTAAACCCAGGGGGTGTGACTGTACTTTACCTTAAAAATAAAAGATAAGCATTTAATTCAAGGACTCGTACAGGCCCAGAAAGGGAGAAGGTATCTAGTAATTGGCACAAGATGGACCAATGAAAGAAAGGAATGAAGCTCGGACCAATGGAACCTCGTGAAAAGGACTGACTCTGTTATGCCCGGATTCCAAACCCCGTAAGCGATAAACGAAAATAAAAAATCAAATATAAATCATTTCTTTATTACTTTATTTAGAGTCCATTTGGTATAGATTATATTTTTAGATAAAACTATCAATCAGTAAATAAAAATTTGTAATTTTTCTCCCTAAAAATTCGATTAGATCGGAAGGTAGGACTATTGAGATTGGAAGGCAGTTGTAGAGTCCCATAATAAATTACGATCTTAGTTTGTTACAGAGTCCTATATATTATTTGCTATTTGTTTGTAGCAGGGACAAAATTGTATTTATAAAAAATATAAAGAGATTAAATTGTCAAAAA